GGGGCAATTTAATGTCCCAGTCTTTACCAGACTCCTTAACATACTTCTTTAGAATATTAACGATAGACTGGTTATATCGCTCTACCCCCCCCGCTAGACGCAGCGCGGTATGCAATATGTAGCTTTCGTTTAACACCCAGAATGTTCCACATCTTAGCCATTACTTCGCTGGTAAAATGACTACCTCTGTCTGACTCAATTCTCTGAGGCAGACCGAACCTGGAAAAGACATGGTTAATCAACAAAGTGGCGCACACGGTACTCGTGTTCTCTTTACAAGGCAAACATTCTATCCACTTTGTGTACATACATGTAATGGTTAACATGTATTTGTTACCTCTTGAAGATCTTGTTACAGGACCTATAAAGTCAATTTGAATATCAGACCAGGGTAATGACACCCCCCTCTTCTGAAGTGGTGCACGATGGGTTGGACCATGGGGTTGATAATGCGGACAAATCAAGCATCCCTGACAGTATGTCTTAACATCCCTTAACATGTGTGGCCAATATGCATAATCACGCAATATCTCATATGTGATCTTATCACCACGATGCCCAGATGTAGGTGCATCATGTGCGTGTTGGAGCATTAACCCTCTGTATATAGTTGGGACTACCCATTGTTGTATACCATGTTTAGAAGTTCTGACCAGTAACCCATCCATGATACTAAATTGGACTTTATATCTCATCAAGATTCGTAAATCTTCATTATTTTTGCAATCCTCATCTGTGATGGGATTGGCAGTAGGGTCTTCTATATGTCTATAGAAAATGCCTATGACGGGATCACTCTTTTGACTAGTAATCAGGTCCTCACTAGGAGCTTCTTGACTCCATTGCACGACATTTAAGTCGGCATTATCTCTAGCCTGTCGTCTAGTTATGGCTTCAACATGAATTGAACCCATAAGATCATCAATGTTTAGGGTTTCACCATTGATGGCAGCTTGTTTTGCCAGTGAATCGGCTAAGCCATTACCATCCTTGTCAATACCTTCTATTTTAGAATGGCCTTTGGTTTTCTTCCAATATATGGTTAAACCATTTTCCTTAACCAGTTCATCAATTTTACAAAACAATTTCCCATGTTTAACAGGTTTGTTATTGCTTTTCAGCATTTGGTTACGTTTCCAGCTAGGCAGATATTCGACGAAACTGTTGCGAACATAGTTGGAATCAGTTATAATAACAAATTCTTTGATACCATATTCTATTGCCATTTGAATGGTCTTATATACTGCACAGAGTTCGGCTATCTGACTGCTTTTGGGACCAATACTGTATCCTATAGATACATTAGGATAATCACCTGTCCAGGCGATTCCGATACCTGCAACTAACTTCCGTTCAGTACCAACTACGTGGTGATATGAACAACCATCAATGTATACCCACGGTAGTGGTCGACAGTATTCCTCGTCATAAACTTTATAAGGGGATAGCAATTGCTCTTCTAGGAAGTCATCTCCGGTGTCATTATCATCCAGAGATGGAGCAGTACAGTCATGTAATTCTGCTAAACCTTGGGCAACTGGGCTTCTCTTATTATGTTTATAACGGACTTCTAACGGCCATCCCTGTAAGGATAGAGTCCATGCAGTAATCCGACTGTTAGAGAGATTACCGTCTCTAATTCTTTCACTCTGCAGATACTGTAGAGGTTGGTGAGCTGTTTCTACAATTATTTTCTCACCTTGGATATAGCTACGAAAATTTTGTAGTGCCCAGACAGTCGACAATAACGCCTTCTCACACGTGTTGAATTTAACTTCAACAGGTGACAAAGTCTTGCTAGCATATGCAATAACTTTGTTTAAACTGTCCTGCTTCTGATACAAAACAGCACTTATGCTTAAATCAGTATATCCTGTCTCCAGATAGAAGGGTTTACCCCCCTCTGGGTATGCTAAACAGGGTGCCTGAGTGAGCTTCCTCCTCAGTTCACTTACCGCTTGGTCCTGAGGCTCCCCCCAGTTCCAGGTAGTTTCCTTTTTAAGCAGGTGTAAGAGTGGTTTAGTTATTTCTGCATAGTTATCTATAAACTTACGGGAGTAGTTAGTCATACCAAGGAACGATCTTAATTCCCTGATGTTTGAAGGTGTTTTAGCCTTTAGTACGGCTTCAACCTTCTTCCTCTGGGGATTTAATCCTTCAGAAGTTACCTCATGTCCGAGGAAATTGACATGGGTGCGACACCATTGCGCCTTTTGTAAAGACAGTTTAATCCCTGCCTCTCTTAACTGAGTGAGAACATGTCTAATCTCTAAGATATGCTTATCAAAGGAAGTGCTTTTCAGCAAGACATCGTCGACATATGATAACGTTCCTCTCTCGAGTGCGTCAGGCATAGCTTTATGCATGAACACAGCGAATTCATGACCAGAGTTTATGTAACCGAAAGGCATACGGGTCCAGGTATACTGCTGCTTTCCAAATGTGAAGGCCAATTTGTATTGTTCTTCATTATGAACTGGTACAGTCCAATATCCCTGCGCACAGTCAATGGCAGTGAATATTTTGGATCCCTGCATTTGTACCAAACATTGGTCTATGTATGGCGTTGGCCAACCAGACATATAGACGCGTTTATTTAGCTGTCGTAAGTCAGCGCATAAACGCCATTGTCCATTAGGTTTCAGAATCCCCAAGATCGGATTATTATACGAACTGTGCACTGGACATATAATGCCCCTTTCCTTTAAATTCTGAATGATGTAGACCATCATATGACGCTAATGGGAGTCTATATTGTTTGATAAATACAGGTGGTAAATTTGGATCAGTTTGTATTCTGGCTACGTGGAGGTTAGTTAACCCACAGTCGTAGGAATCTTTGGCAAAAATATCTTGGAATTCCAAAAGGATTTCCTTTAGCTGTTGCCGCTCAGCATCGTTGGAGCAACCGTCAGCTAAAGATATTTGCTCTTCTAGCCTTTCCTGAAATCCTGGAAAGATTTCAGGCTGGCCTATCTCATAAGCTTCTTCAAGCCTAGAAGTTAGGTCAGTTCGGTGTTGACTTACCTTTTCTCTTTGGTCGTGATACTCTTGTGATTCCTGCTCATTGAGCGGATGATCGAAGGTAATTGATGCTTCTTCGATTTTACACGAGCCTTCTTCAACGTTGAAGGGATACACAGATAGGATAGTGAATAATCCTTCTGGGGAGGAATGGAATATTTGATCGACAATTTCGTCCTCAGTTAAGTATTCTTCAGGGATGAGGCCTATAATTTGGTTTTGGAAACCAAATGTATAGTACTCAGCATCCAATGCTAGACCTAATAATGTTGCTTTTGGTAAAGTAACACTATTGGGTGTAACATTCTTGACCATGATATAGGTGGGATTCTTACCAATACTTACCATTGGTGTATGTGTTACCACCATCCCTAATTGTTGTATCCTGTTGGATAAACAGATTAGGGCATCAGAGTTTTCCAATCTCTGACCCTCCTTGACCTGTAGGGGTAAAAGAAAATTACTTGTCCCCTGTGGGATGGTTATGTCATCAGGAACTTGGATACTTACCGCATATGGGAGTATTTGTCCTGATTTCAGGGCGTTTTCCTCATGTAGGTATCCACAAGGATTACCTTTTAACCTTGTCCACAAGTTGGAATTAATCAGGTCAAGGTGTATGGCAAAGCGATGTATGACATCATTGCCAACGTAAACCTGATAGCGAGGTTCGTCTATCACTAGGAATAAATGTTTAACTGTCTTATTTCCGATGGAAATAGATAGTAAGCATTTTGCTATCACATTGTGACTCTCTGATTCGCCATCCAGGTTCTGGATCCACCTGTCATGTGGGGAAGCGTACCTGATCATTTTAGGATTAGCGATCTGCTTTAACAGACTTCTGCTAATATAGCTGTTCTCACTCTGTAAGTCCAGCTTTGCATTCCTACTTCTTCCTAAGTCATGTATTTGAATAGGAAAGAATAAGTTGTTATTAACCCTTTCAATTCTGGCAAGGAATTGAGCATGACCTGCCAGATCTACAGATTCAACATAGTCCCTGTGGAGAGAAATGGTTAAAACATCACCTTCCAGAGAGACATTCTGGATCCTCTCTGGAGCAATTCTTATGGAATGCTCATCTACAGGCGCGATTACATCATTCACCTGCAGGATAGTCACGTCAGGTGACTGACTATTCCTAAAATGTACCTCAATTGAGTCAGGTCTTTCTTCTATCACATGGCAGTTACGATCAGATTGTACATGTGATTTCTCATAGGTTATGGGAACCTTAGCTTGTGACCATACAATTCCATTTACACAGTCAATAATCGTGTTAAGTCTTCTGAGTATGTCTATACCCAGAATCAGTCGGTCATAGGGGAGATCTACCACTATCACCGGGTGTCTAAAGGTTTTGTTACCTATTTTAAACTTTAACCAGGTATTGCCAATAACATGAAGGGCATTTCCTCCTACACTCAACAGAGCATTGGGGAAACCTCTTAGCTTCGGCTTATCCGTTGCTAAGTCCATTACCTGCTGGAAGTAGGTATTGGATAAGATAGTGGCTTGTGAACCAGTATCTATTAACCCTTTAAAAGGCTGGGGTAGCGAATCCTGTATTTCTACAGACATGTAGTACCTTCCTTCATGTTCTTCTAATTCACATAAGAATTTAGAATGTGTCAACATATTACTTGTTTTCCCATACATTACCGGTCACAGCAGTAGTTTCTACCTGTACTGAGGAATGCTCAGTCTTACCCACAGGCCCATCCTTTTTAGGAATATCTTGAACTGTCAAGCGGGAACTAGTGGTCGGCATCTCATCAGTTAACCCTTTCAGGTCTGGATCCTGGAAACTTGTGGCTGCTGGGGCTATTTTAGCCTTTGGCTGAAATGAAAAAACAGAGGAACACGTCGCGCCTCTTTCACCCGGAAGTGAAGTGACGGTATAGGCAATAGGTTTTCTAACACAACTATTGTTTGTTTGACTGTTAGTACCTGGAAAGGAAACAGGGTTAGGCATTACATCTACTGATAACCTAGCCTGTTTAGTCACAGTGGCTATTATTGCTGCGGCACCTGTTGTTGTTGCTGCGGTTGCACAGGTAGTTCTGCAATTGGAGCTATTCCTAAAAAAAGGATTGAGAGCAAAGACTTGGTTGATCTTTGCCATTCCCTCCATTAATTTGCCCATCTGGTCTGTCAATTGACCAACCTGACGACGCAAATTATTTCCCCCATTGCCGTTTTGTCTTTGCCCATTAGAATTTGGCTGGGATGGCTGAGACTGTTGGGAGTTATTGGAAGCAGATTGGTTATTTCTGTTTCCATATCTCCTATTTCCCTGAGGATTCCTTCTCCATTGGGAATTGCCTTGGTTCTTATTTACCCAGGGGCGTTTATTCCCATTGGCATTGGACTTTTCAGAGTTATTAGAGGAATTTGCAGAATTGCTTCCGGCATTTTCCTGTTTCTGAGGTTTTGGCGTTTTCAAAACCTCGGAATAGGTCCTCTTTTTCTGTTGGGTTTCTAGACCTAACTGAATTTTAGTCTCTGACACCATTTTATCACCAGGTTTCTTAACCTTTGGCTGATTTTCGTCATGTGCATGGTGTATAGTGTACAACTTCATACACTGACTGACTAGCCATTCTAATGGTAACTTACAATCGTAATCTCTTGCGAGATTCATTTGTATGTTTACCGGCATGGCATGAAAATACAGATCTTTGAAGTCTGTGCTTTCATACCTGGGTTTTCTTTGGGCCACGGAGTATGCATTTTTAAGAATTATTAAAAATTCTCTGGGGCTTTGATCTGGACGGCACTTTAAGTTATAAAGCGCCTTCTTTGCAGAAGCAATGGTTTTATACTTACCATATTCCATGATTATTTCATATTTCATCTTGGACCAGGACATTAACTGTATAGCTTGAAGACTTTCTAGATAAACACGACACATTGAATCAAAGGTCCATGTAATGAACCATTTCTTATGAATGTCATCATACATGCCCAATGAATTCATTGCTCTATCATAATTTTCCAGATGTTCAGATATGTTTCCTGAACCTCTAGAAAATTGTGGGACAGTCTCTCTAAGGAATTTGATGACCTTTGGTGTTTCATAAACAGGCGTCGTTGATTTAGGACCTCTGTTTCTGTGTTTAGGTAAACGTCTATGCGATCTGTCTGCTGAAGAGGAATTAGACCCGTACAACAGTGCAGATGGCATATCAGTTACATGGCCTTCAGAGTGGATAGTGCAATCACTTTCACTCCCATCACTCTGAGCTTCTTGTTCACTGTCACAATTCTGATCAGCATCAGAATCCTGCCAGTGTACAGAACCATGTCTGTTTTCATTCCTATCATCTTGAATTGGACTCTCCCTCTCAAGTTTGGCCAAGACAGCTTTTTCAAACTGTTCTGCCCAAGATTGCCAAGGTGGCTTGGTAATGTCATGAGATGGGGAATCTTGTTCCACAGGTGATTTTTTAGAATTACTCACACCTTTACTTACAGACTGTTTTATGAAAACCTGGTTTGGTGTGGGAAAATCATAATAAGGAGGGGATTTACAGATAGTCTTTTCTTGCATTTTTGTGCAACTTTTTGGCACAGAATGATGACTACCAACCTCACTGTCTAATTTCTGACTCTCCTTTTCATACTCATCCAATTGCATTTTAAGCTGATTTATTTCCTGTGCATATTTATCCATCAAAGCTTTCATTTCTTTTTCATGATCAGCCTGACAAGTTTTATGCTCAGCAAGTAAATCTTGGTATTTCCCATTTTGAATGCCCAAATCGTCACTGTACGTGTCCAATTTGGCATTCAATGACTTGTTTTCATCACACACCTTAAGAAGTGCTGTCATAAAGAAAGGCCAAGAGTGTATTATGAACGCCATTTTCCTTTCTATGTTCTTTTGTTCAGCAATTTCTTTAAGATATATGATGATGTGTTCATCAGTTAGAATGGTGTGTTTAGCTTCCCATTCTATGCTTTTCAACCAAACCTCATAGGTTGCATCATTTTTCATATGTTTATGAATATGAACTAGAGCATGTTTTCTTAGGTCTTCAATTATTTCAGTATTATCTGTTACAGATTTATCACTGCCACTGGCCATTTTTATTTTTATTTTATTGATAAATCTCAATACAAAACTCTTTTCTATATTAAGATTAAATTGCATGAATTACACCAATATTATTATTATATATGAAATACAATTTCAACTTAAACGATCTCAGCACCGTGCCTCCAATATGTGGGGATATTTATGGGATAATAATAGTAACAGTGAGAATTGCCCACTAATTCAATTATCAGATCCCAAAGAACGTTTATCGTGTTAAGTGGAATGTATTTCATATAATAATATCACAATGTATAAAATAGATTTTTATTTATGATAACCAATAATTAACAAATAATATTATGTAACATGCATGACAATAATCAATGAATATTCAGTATAAATTGATATGCAATACAAAGGAATGGGTATTACGTTTCAATGGCTTCTGTCAAGACTTTATTTATGACTATCTTTCACAGACTTAAAGTGAAAGTTTTCACAGTGAAGAACAGAATTCCTCAGAGTGCAGCGTAAGGTCGTAAAGTTTAGCAGACAGTTAGAATAACCCTTTCAATGCTGGCTAGATCTCCTAGGTAGTTAAGATCTATTCTTATGTAATTTTTAAATAAAATAACATTTAAACCAGTTCATTAGCCATTTCCTGAAAACAATCCAATAAGAGAATCTACATATTATATAAGCAGATTTTTAATTTGTCTAAAAGATATCTATCTTAATTTAGAGCAAATCAATACACCTGGATAAAAACAGCGGTATGCTAACACGTGATAATATCACATCAATATATAATTATTCTTAATTCCACCTGCAGAATGGAATGTTTATAACTATATATTCTTAGTTAACTAAGATTTCTTAATATGGAAATCTGACCGTGCTTTATCCAGTCATATATAATGCTATTAATACATTTTAATTAATTTAATTTAATTAAATGAAACCAGTATAATTACCAGTTGAGTAGATATTTCATCCGATTGGTAGTCTCAGGAATTTATTTGGATGTGTCTCTGCATGGAGGTTGGAGTCCCCAAACTTCCAATTCCTCTCTCCTCTTTTTCTTTGCATCTCTTGCATCTGCCTCCTCTGTCTCGTATATCTTCCCTTTGTCTTAACTTTTAAAGGGCCAGACTCTCTGTACGTCATCAGTTGATAACCCAATAGAAGCACTAGAGGTGTGGTTATCTTCCAGATCGCAAATTAGTTATTTGGTCTATAGAGGGCAGTCTTGTCCCACTAAACATACCTATCAAGGAAAGAGTTAACTTTTCCTGGTGGCTATTTTGACGTCATTTTGCGTTATCTTTATAGCGCCATAATTTAAAATTTCAAAGGATTTCTTAAATTTTGTCCAGACTTAGCGTCTGCAATTCCTGCCATAATTTCTGATATGACAGATCATGAACTAAGTTTACCCTTTTCCATACAATGGTACCTTATATATATAGACAGTTAAATATTAAATTATTTAATCTTCTCTGTCACAATTGTCTGGGTTTAGATTTGATTATATTCCATTAGCATTAGACAGTCTGTCCAACCCCCTTCCTTATCACTTGTTTATACTATGCATTCCTTAGCTCTGGCAAAGAGGCCAGTCTTACAGAAAGAAATCCTGTGTCTTTTTTGTTAATTTGAAATAACAAAATGGAGTCTGGTCTGTTCAGAGTGACTCAGAATATACACTTTTAGTTTCTATCATAGCACAAAATGTCTGTCGATATAAATACTCTGACAATATATATATATATATATATATATATATATTTTTTTTTTATTATAACTATGAAATAATTAAGTACTGGATATTTTATAAATTAAACAGTGTTATGCAGATGAGATCTTCAGATTTGAAATAATTCTTATTTCTTCTTAGGACAATTTCCATAGGCTTAGGAAAGTTCTTCAGTCTTCTTGTGAAATACTTTTCTCACACAGGAGTCTGCTGGCAGGGTGCAATGCTTCACACAGGAATAAGCTCTGAGCAGGGAAGTAGAAGGACTTACAGGCCTACCTTGCCTCATTTGTGCTTGCCAGTTCTGCAGTAAAATAAGTCCAGTCTGGGTGATTAAGCTAAATGCAAGACAAGGATTACAGTTATAAAAATTTTCTGGAAGTGTGTAGGCAGGCTGTATGATTGACAGCAAGGAGAGATGGGGCTAGGACTGAAGAGATAAAGTAATTTATTATTTTATTATTCACTACATGGAGCTTACCCTTTAAATGTAGCCTTTTTCAAAAAGGCACACCCAGTTACCCCCAAAAGTGTCTCCAAATAGCCATAAAAACATTGGAAAAGAATTGAAGAGCTGCAATAATTAAAGAGACAGATACTATAACTGTTTTCTAAAACAGTTGTATCTTAAAAGTGTCTACATTTTTAACATTGATAACATAAGTTTTATTTCTTTTATTTATTATTAAATTATAGGAATATCACTGCTTTAAAGGGACTCTATAGGCACACAGACAACTTCAGCATATTGAAGTGGTGTGGGTGCAGTGTCCCAGGTCCCTTAACCCTGAGCGGGTAATTATTGCATTTTTTTATAAAAACCAGGTAGCCACTAGAGGGACTTCCGAGCTGCTAGGCGACTTTTGGTTGGGTGTGCTCACACTATGCATGAGGATGACTAGCGTAACCCAAATCCCCATTGGAAAGAAGGAGAGAAGGGGGACCGGAGCCAGTGCCGAGGGACATCGTCGCTGGAGCCAGGTAAGTCACAGACAGAGTTTTTAACCCCTTGTGCACCACGGAGAGGGCCTTGACAAACGAGTTTGTTTTCCTGGCACTATAGTTCCACTTTAAGTGCCTCTGTGTATGAACCTTCACTGATAAACATACTCTTTATGTAAAAAAAATGAAAGTTGATTAGTTTAAATAAATGCTTGAAATGACTGTGATCTGAGCATTTCCAGATGAACATGAAAACTCTTAACACATCTCATCTATATGAGTTATGCCAATTTGAAACAAGAAATTCACTCTTACTAAACAATTATTCAAATCCCTCATCTTCCTTTTCATCTTATCTGTGAACATGTGCCGTTATAAGTCAGTTTAATAATTTCAAAATAGCTACCATTTCTTAAAATCATAATATAGCAATGGAATAGGTATATTTTACTGAAAGCCAATGCGGCTA